CTCCCTGCCCAGTACCAGTCCTGCCTCCATCCACCAAACCAGGTATTCTAGGGGTTGCTTTCGGTCAGGCTTCTGCTGCCCTGCTCAGGGATACCTGAGGCCAGGGAACTGCTCACAAGATGCGAATTCAGCGGAATCCAACACACCCAGAGACTGCCAAGGCCCCAGTACCAGTCTTGCCTTCATCCACAAGAAGAGGACAGACATCAGAATATTGATTCTGTTTACATCTACCAGAAGGGAACCTTGGTCCTGTACCTACCATGAGAGGAATAGACTACTTCTATACCCACCAGAAGACATACCAATCCTAGTTCCCTCTCCCTCCCTTCCTCCCATGCCCCCACCAACCTCCCATCCCAATCCCCCTCCACTCCCCAGAGAGAGTGAGGCCTTTCATGAGGGATCATAAAAATCTGTCATGTCATTTTGGACCGGTCCTAGACCCTCCTCTGTTATTTGGGCTGAGAGAGTATCCCTCCATGGGGAAGCAGCTCTCAAAGTCCATTTGTGCACTATTGATAAATACTGGTTCCACTGCCAGAGGCCCCATAGACTGCACAGGCCTCCCAACTGACCTGCAAGTTCAGGGGGCCTGGTTTGGTCTTATAATGGTTTTCCAGCTATCAGTCTGGGGTCCATGAGCTCCCCCTTGTTCAGATCAGCTGGTTTCTCCAGTCTGGTCTTGACCCCTTTGCTCATCACTCCTCCCTCTCTACAACTGGATTCCAGGAGTTCAGCTCAGTGTTTAGCTGTGGGTGTCTGCTTCTGCTTCCATCAGCTACTGGAGGAAGGCTCTAGGATGGCATATAAGGTAGTCATCAATCTCGTTATTGGGGAAGGGCATTTAAGGTAGCCTCTCCACTATTGCTTATATTGCTAGTTGGGGTCATCCTTGTAGATCTCTGGACATTTCCCTAGTGCCAGATTTCTCTTTAAACCTATAATGGCTCCCTCTATTATGGTATCTCTTTTCTTGCTCTCCTCTATTCTTCCCCTGTCTCAACCTTCCTGCTCCCTCATGTCCTCCTTTCCCTCCTCTTCTCCCCTTCTCTTTCTCCTAACTCCTTCCCCTCTCCCCCATGCTCCCAATTAGCTCAGGAGATCTTTTCCCTTTCCCCTTCTCCAGGGGACAATGTATGTCTCTCTAGGGTCCTCCTTGTTCCCTAGCTTCTCTGCTGTTGTAGATTGTAGACTGGTAATCATTTGCTCTATGTCTAATATCTACTTTTGAGTGAGTACAAAAATAGGCAATGCTTCATGAATTTGCATGTCATCCTTGGGCAGGGGCCATGCAAATGTTCTCTGTATCATTCCAATTTTTAGTATATGTGCTGCTGAATTGAGCACCAGAGAACATTGTTTATTTGCAATATCTCTTCCTGTTAAGCTTGATTTGGTGTTTAAGTGCGGATACCTAATCTCACATAAATCTAAGCAGCAAATAATTCAGGTTTCAAATCAAACAAGGTATGAGTACCTTGTTTTTTCTGTAATTGACAATGCAGGCTATTTCTGCCTTTTTACAGGGAATTGTGTGTCTCACCTGTAATCAAATGAACTCTTTGAGTTACATACTGATCAGTTCTCTTCTGCTATGAAGTTTGTTTTAAATAATGAGAATCCACAAGACTTTCCAATTCTAGTAGACATTCATTTTTGTTTGCTGAAACTGTTTTCATTTGTAAGTGATGTAGAAGTAGAAGGAATGTATAGAGTCTTGAAGTCTCAATTATATCTGAACTTTATATATTAAAGTTCTAAACTCTTATAAACAATATTACATGTTTTGATGCCATATGGCATACATTCAAAACCTGTCTAATTTCCCATGGGCTAATGCAGACAGCAAAATTTCATTTCTTCTGAGTTATAGCTTTCTCTGTAGGTGAACATTTTCTGAAGAGGTCACTGTAGAAGAGTCTGAGATGAGATTCAGAGTTTCGAGTGGAGGCAGGGCACAGGGAAAACAGGAACAGTGATGACTTGGGCCTAGTCCTTCTCTTTACATCATACACATACTAAAATATTATGTACATATTGAACTACTTGGTATTATATCTGTATTCATATTATTGAAGTTCAATAAAGGGAGTGAAGCAATGTTTCTGGACAGTCTCAACATTGCCTCCCCAAGGAGAATGAATAGGAACTTGGCCTTAAATAATGGCAGAATTGGACCTGAAGACAAGGTTCTGTAACAGAAAACCTGCTTAGCACACATGGGGCCCAAATCCCATCTATAACATCAAAAATAAAGATTAAAAGGATGTGTGAATACTAACAGGCATAACAAATGGCAAGAGAGGGTAGAGGAGGAGGGACGGGGAGTTTCTGTAGAACAAACAGCAACAGCAATGCTACAGACCTCAAAGATCAGAAAAGATTGGAGACCAAATGGTGATGATAAATGTATCATTTAGTGCTATGTTTTGAAGGGTTCTC